CAATCCCACTTTCGAATACAACCTACAAGCAGCTATAATTACTTTAGTAAGCTGTCCAGACCAATCAAAATGTTTTGCGCAATTGTGCAAACGTTAAAACAATTATGTATTGTGACGTCATCAAAAGGCGCAGGCCCCCGAGTCAATCTGGTACCTACACCGGCGCTCCGGAGGGCTTTACCGTATTAAAAAGGAGAAACGGCACAAGTGAATTTAGACGCTGTCGTCAGACAAACAGCGGTAATTTATAAATGTTTTAAATCAGGTTGGGTCTGGATTAGCCAGCAGGGGGTTCCAGATCTAAACTGCGGTCCGTTAATCCGTGACCTCTGATCTAGAGAGACCATGGGCCTCTTGGCTGACCAGTACTCTTCTAGTTTGGTCTGTAGGTTTAGACGTAGGGCCTCATCTTGGCATGTTTACAATCTTTTTATTGCAGTATGATGGATTGAAAAACGCTCCCAAAATGTTCAAAGCTTAACGCTTGGGAGCGAAATTAGTTCCAACATTATTCATGGCAAATAAGGTCTTACAATATTTGAAGGTATCGTCTGTTCCTACTGCCCGTCTCACCACCATGGCTGTGCCCCCATCCTCTGGAAATCTCTACCACCCTTAGTTAGAAACATCGACTCACTTCTGCATTTCAAATCACAACTCAAAACTAATCTGTTTAAAATTGTCTATTCTCTTTAATATTCATTTCCCTGTCCCAGCCTTTGTATTTTCTAAATGGTTTAATTCTGTGTTTTAACTTAGTTTCTGCCATTGTTTTTTTTATCTTTTGTACGGTGAACTTGAGTGTCCAGAAAGGTGCCTTTGAAATAAAATGTATTATTAATATGAATGAGTTTCAAAATAAAAATCTTACTGATAAAAATGTTTTTGTAGGAGTAAATAATGTAGAAGCAAAAGTTCAAACAATATTTATGTTTTTTAACAGATTTTCCAAATGCTTTATTTAATTTAATTACAATTTAATTCATTTTCTGCAGGGTTTTTTTTTTTCAAATCTTATTTTTTCAAACTTTATTTTGGAGAAAGAATTTTATGAATTTCATTCTTTTCAACCTAAGGTTTACAGATTTCAGCGTCTAAACTTCTGGGTGGTCTGTGCACGGTCCAATAGAAATGCTGTTGCTCGCGTCCGCACAGAACAGCAATGCAGAGGGTGAAACTGTAAAACTGAACATGAAAAGAATGCAATTTGTTAAAAAAAAAAAAAAGAAATATGACTAAAAGCCTTTACAAATACTGAATCTAAAAAAAACTGAAAAAAAAAAATAATGAAACAAAAATAGAAAAATTAAAAAGATGTTTTAAACTTTTACAAACAAAATAAATGAAAAATTCAAAAAAAAAAATGTCTTTAATTACCATTTTTCGAAAACTGATCTTTGCCTTCAATAATATTGGAACTGTTATGTATTAAGTCGGTCTATCTCCTTATTCTTCTTCTTCTTTGTGCAAGATCTGTGGTCTATGGTTGATGACAGCCCTTCCCTGATAACTCTGATCTACTCTTGTAGTTCTTTTTTCTTGTAGACCTGGAGATATTCTCCTTATTCAGGATTATTCTTCTAAACCCTACGTATTCATTATTTTTCAAAACTGCTTCTCTGGTTGTTTTTGTCTTTCCATTTTCACTGTGATTAATCCTTTTAGCAATCATCAGTACGCCTCCAAATGCTCGAGCCTTCAGATCTATAAATCCAAGAATGCTTCACCTTTGACCACATGATTGTCTACAGGTGTGCAGTGAAAATGATTTGTTTGCTTTTAACCCGTCTGCTCATTTTGGATTCTATGTTCTCTGATGGTCTTTCTGACTGAAAGTGAATCTTGCACAGATCAAGTGTGGGGAAATCTTTTGTTTGCTTCTGGACTGTTTTTGGCTTCCAGCACTTTTACCAAAACGTATCCAGGTTGAGCAGCAGACCTGCTGCAGCATTTTATTTGCAGAATTTGGTTTCTAAAACAGGGTTTAAATCATGTTTGATTTTCTTTATACTTCACAACTCTAAAGCATTTTAATATATGTTAAATAAAATATATTTATGTTTGTGGCTGTAATGTGACAAAATATAGAAAAGTTCGAGGGGTATGAATACCTTTGCAAGCCACCGTATTCAGTGCATATTCCATAATTCTTTTATGAAATGGATTTCAACCTTCTCTTTGGGGTTTGCATTGTCTGGCTCTGCTCTAAAATGATCGGGGTAGGGACTGTGGGAGAGGCAGGTGGAATTTACTCCGTACCCTAACATTGCTCAGTGCCCCGGGAAAACCAGTTGCTGCTGAACTGTGATGGTGCACCATGTGTCTTATCTGTGAGACATTAAGGCATCAAACTGCACTTTGAGGGGCCGTTTGATTTCATTGCAAGAGGAAGAATGTGTTTGTTTTTATTTTAGGTGTGGTTGTAATAGCCTGTACCGTCAGAGGGAACTTCCAATAGCCCTTTCGGGACAAATAAAGTTTGTGAATCACAAAAGCAGAGTAGAAGACAGAGAAGATCCCCCAGTGTGTTTAATGTCCTGCACAATGTGGAGAAAAGTGTGGAACGCTTTAGATCAAAGCCACCAAATCATACAGAAAAACAGTTCGGAATGTAGAAACCCAGAAGGAAAGGAGGGAAGACGTCAAGGCAGACAGCAGGAAAAGAAGACGGACATGAGGAATGAACTGAAGTTACCTGTGGAACCAGCTCCAGTGGTACGAGATTCTGTGGATTCAAACAGAAATAGGAATTAGCTCAGGAAAACTGCAGCCCATCAGATGGGAAGCTTGATATCAGATTTGTTTCTCATCACCATGAGTTTACAGTTAAAGCTTCCTCATCTCTAGATGAGCTCATTGAATAGAAAGTCAGAGATCCTCTAAGCTGACAACCATCCTGCTGCTCTTATCCTGATCAGACAGAACATTTTGTATCTCTGTGTCTTTTTCTATGTCTGCTTCTGTCTCCTTGAACCCCAGTGGGCCTCAGCAGATGGCCGCTCACACTAAACCAGGGTCGGGTAGAAGATTCTACCCTTCTTAGACGACAGTCTGATGCAGTCACTC